GCCACCTGCATCCATCGACTTCCTGCATGTCTTATCAGGTCGTCACTCCATCTAGTGGGGGGTCCCTCTACATTTTCCTCGTTTTTAAGACTATCTCGCTCTCCATATCTCGCTGAATGATCTTGATAATTAATAAAATATATATATATATATATATATATATATACCCAGGTATACCATTACGTATACCTTTTTACCATTTTTAAATAATATTGAGCATAACACTAAACATATATAAAATTGTACATAGTTAATGTACCTATAACGTTCTCTGTTTTTGTTTATTCACAGTTTTGTAACTCAGTTCGGAGTTTATATTATGTCACGTAACTTTTAAAGAGCTCTTACTTGTTTTTGAATATTATGTAGAGTTTATTAAAATATAATTTTATTTAGAATAATATAATATTAATATAGTTTTGAATTTTGACTGAGCGGCCTATCGTTTTTGATATAGTTTATTAATTTCACCAGGACGAGTTTGGAAGTTGTTTTTATGCAGCTATTATTCATTTCATAAAATAATAAAAATTCCTTTTTCATAAGTATTTGCATAAGAAAGTACTTAAACGTTTTCATTTTTCAAAATATTATTTTTGGTAACGTGTAACATACTATTACTAACGTTATACAGTTACTCATACTAATTATTAAAACCCTTTATGAATTACTTATTTAAACGATTTAGTGTAGTGACACACTATACCGAAATGACGAAAAATCAGACTATTTACTTTTGGAAGACCATTTATACTTTTCGGAAGTGAATCATACCACAGGTTAGCCGAGGACATTGAATCAACGAACGGTAAACAGGTTTTGTATTAGAAACGAATTAATTGATTTTTTTTCCTTGAAAAGAGACAAATAATATAAGAGTTTTAAAAAAACTTAAATAACACACATTGATCATGAGCTTGATTATCCTGATAATTATTTTATTTTATCCTTGTGATCCTGATCAGGATAGTAGGATATAATTTGTTACAAATTGGTGAAAATTACATTAAAAGATTCCGTTACCTAGATAGATACACGCGAAACTAATGAACGCGAGTTAAAAATGCCATTGACAAACGAAATAAATGAAAAACTTTTACAATCTATGCCATTGACCGTGGTATTATTATTTAAAAAAAAAACTTTAGTTTAACATTTTAATTGATATTTTTATATTTTATTACCATTAAATATAGTAAGTAACACATTTCTAATAAAGAAGAAGACACACAAACTGTTTTAAGTCCTGTTTAAAAAAATAAAACATCTTTTTACTCTTTTATTTATCGCATATAAAATCTGTTACATTACTTTGTCACAAAAACCGTCAATGATCCGCCTATATGATACCATAGATGAAATCTGTGCAATCTTATTTAGGTTTTTGCTGTATAGATAATGTGATGATGATGATATATACGTATTTCGCAAACTTCATTAACATCGTTCATGTTCTCTGGCCTTTGAATAAAAACAGATATAATTGAATAAAAGATATAACAACAGTTTTAGGTGTATGCATCTATGAAAGTACAACATTCTATTGAACTTTCAGTTTTCTGTCGCTTCCAATACAATATCTGTAGAATATATTGTATTCCCTTTGACTGGTATATTCAGTTGGTAAAAAAGATGCGATATAACTTTAGCGGATAGTCGTGGGAGCATATAGTGTGACACAACACTTATCTAATTTTAATTGACCTAACGAAATAAAGCGTGGAACTAGAGGTTCGTTAGTTTAAAGATAACGTACGTGTTTATAAAACAAATAGTAATATATAAATTTTTGCTTATTTAAGGAGGTAAGGTTGTGTTCTATATATTTCTCCTTAGAAGTTAATATACGTAGGTAGGTACTTTGTTCTGATATTGGTTTTTGAAAGTCGAAAAGCATGTTTTACATTTTTGCGGCTTAAAACTTTGCTTTGATCTTCGACCAAGTGAATAAGTTTTAAATACGTAATTGAGTATCAAGATGTAATATATTTTCATTAATGGTAGTAATACATGTTTTTCTTAATCGTTTATGTTATTATACAGCCATTAACATCTGAATACACAAGGGGATTATTGGCTATTTTTATTACTTAAATACTTGATTGCTTTGTTGGTCTAGTAGTCGTAAGCGCGATTGCTGATCCTGCGGTCTCGGGTTTGAATCCAAGCTTGGGTCAAAAATCAATAATTGGCGTTTTCTATTAAGACATTCTCAGTATCAGCCCGAAGTTAGGTGGTTGACGTTGTTTTTTGTTGTGCCTTGGAAAGCACGTAAAGTCGTTGTTACTGCGCTTGATGTTAATGCGCCTCTTCGGCTATGTCGAAATGCCGTCCTATCGGCCCACGAAAGTCAGGGAATAATGAGTGTACCTGTGCTTTGCACTCGTGTCCTGTAATCCTGTCCTGCTCACATGGCTAGTCTCCATTGAGACTGGCCTTATGATTGAAATTCATTCTGGATGACATTATTCACGAAAGTTACCACGTTTTGCAAGCGTGTTGGCGACTTTAGTTTTTTATAAATTTGATTTATTATCAGGAAGAGGCTGATGCCCACGTCCTGTTTTATTTGCTTCTAACGCGTCTTACGACACCTACGGGCTGATGGTAGTGGTAGCGGATTCTCTTACGCCGCCTCTACTTGGCGATTACTCGAACATATTACAAGAATATCTTTTTGTAATTCAGTGTTATATTTTCATGTCTCGCTTAAAAAAATCTATTACCCCATGTCATCTCAGCTACGTGCCCAGATATTGGTAGTACAACGTCTTAAATGCCAGTTCCAAAAAGACACACGTCCGAAAATAGCGTTAATTGCGTGTAAAAACGTTGGTGCTACTACCGACAGCGACGGTGTAGATTCTGACATTCATATGGGCGGGCATTCAGCCAACAAGCCTAATTGAATGAAAAGTTTTGAATTTTACTTTGAATGCGCCTGTCAAGCATGACTATTACAGGAAATCGTAACGACGTACCGATATTGCTTATCTAGGCCATAGAAGTATTCAGAGGGTTAATGATAATTGCGAATGAAACGTTTCCTTATTGTAAGTGTTTTATAATTGTTATCTTAAATTACCTTCGTCTGTTTTGTATGTGGTAGAGTGACGCTGCTGCTGTATTATAGATGTAGCACGAATGAGCCGGCTCGAACGGAGACTTCGCACAGAGTACTACCGAGTCATAAAATATCAGTGCATCTGCATTGTTATTCATAGTCGTGTATCTGTAACACAGCATTCATTATCCAACAGCTACCAGCTACCACATTTATATTTAACTAGCTGTTTCCTGCGACTTCGTCCGCGTGGAATTTATTACGATTGTATTTTAATGGGTTTTATTATTTGGACACGGAACCCTAATTCTTTTTCTAAAATAAAAGTAGCCTAAGTTGCTCCTTATAACAACAACTATCTGCCAGTGAAATTCTCGTCAAAATCGGTCCAGCCATTTTCGAGATTAGCCGGAACAAGCAGACATACAGACGACATACAGACAGATAGACAAAAATTTAAAAATTGTTTTTTGTTATTAAGTATCGTATTATACTTCCATATAATATATATTTAGTAAAAGCTGTTATTTTGACATTACAGACAAACACTTCAATTTAATTTATTTTTACTAATTTATTTTTTAATAATTATTTTTTAATAATAACTTGGGAATCAATTACGTTTAGTTTTATACATAAATTTAAAATTAATCTTGAACTAATAAATATAAATTCTGAAACCAGCGAACACAAGGTTTTAGTCCTTAACCAATTGTTATTCATTATTAACTACAGCTATTCGTAAATAAGTACATTTGTACCACTGTTTTACTAGCTGGTAGAATTCCGTCTGGGTAGGTTTAGCACTTCATAAAAAGAAAAATCCATAAACAAACCAAAACAAAATCGTCGGCATTATGTACGGAAAAATCATTAATTAAAAACGGGGAGTGGAATGTCTATTGTGTGGTTGACGATAGCGGTGCAGTATTGTTGATTTTAATTATAAAGTGGTCTCTGAAAAATTATTTAATGTTTTACTAGATTTTATTCTGTTTGCAGGAAAAACACATATTAATATTACATGTAACGAGCTACCTCCTAATATAGTTAACAGTTTCCTTATATAGAAACAAATATTAAAAAATATTTGAACTGTGTACTCCGAAAATTGTTTTCATTTTCTCTGAGATTGATTGATTGATTATTAGATGGCGTGACGTGAACTTTATGTTCAGCAGTGGACTTGTTATTCGATGTAGTTATGATCAGATAAAAATTTCACAGATTTATTACAATAAAAATATGTTACACATACAGATATTATATCTTTGTACAATTAATTGCAGTAGATAATGTTTCCAAAAAAATACGTAAGTATTAGTTGATTTGACAAGGGAGGTACTGGATCCATATAAAAACAATTGTATGTGATATTGGTGTGTATGTCAGTGATCGTGTAACATATAAGCGAATAGACCGATTAAGGTCATGTTCGCACAACATATATTGTTTCGTCCAGACGATGGTTGGTATGCTAGAGTCTGATATGTGATGCTGAAATCAAGTATTACAATTAATAAATTCTATATGATGGACCAAATAGTCATGTTAACAATATAATATGTTGGGTTAGTGTCAATAAAGAAAATCATGAAATCCGAACCTTATACGTGGCACTGTTGTCGCCTTTTTTATACAAACTGTAAAATATCCGGAATGAATTCGGAGTGAAACTTACGCCATCTACCAGAAATGACAGAACAACGTCTACAAGCCCAGCTAATATTAACTTTATAATAAAATCTAAATCTTATATCTAATAAAGTATTTATATCTAATCGATTGTCTTTTTTTATTCAAAGCACTAAATTGATTGTTTCTAGGAAGTCACTATTTCATCAATAGTTTTTTTTACTGATTATGATCGGTGGTAGAAATAGACATCATTCGGCGTTTTTGTACACCTTTTACATTACGCATTCTTCATCCTCAGACGACCCGCAATCAACGGTATTCGGCTCGGTGACGGAAGGTGTGTTCGAGGGGAAGATGATCACCAGCGATGGCACCTTCTATGTGGAGCACGCTCGCAGATACTTCCCGCCCAATGGGACGAGAACGCGAGTCCACTCCGTTATATACAAAGAAGCCGATGTCAGCGATCCTTACTCTCATCGGCGACATGGTAAGTTTTAGTTTTATTGCACTAGATGCTTTTTAAAATTTTAATTCAATTGTTTACATGCCCGTTTTAGCGCTATGTGCTTACGTAAATCTCAAATAAAATTATTTAAAAAATTCCTTCGTTAATTGGTATTTTGTGAAAAAATATTTCTAGCATATAATATTGTTCACTACCGGGTAGTGGCGGTGAAAGACATCCAATACCCCATATCGTCCGGTGGGTGTCGTAACAGGCAGAGGGAAACAAACCAGAAGATGGGCAGCAGCTTATTCCTGAATAACAATAAAAAAGTAAAAAACTCGTAACTCGGTAACGGTAATACTCTTTGCTACAAAAACAATAGTAAAGATTTATGTTTAAGCATGTACATAATACATAATATTATACATCTTTGATCGCTTTTTTGTTATCTAGATTGACCTCATATGTCATTGGGTGGGAAATATTTATTCTATCAACATGTCAACCACGCGAGGAAAATGAACACTCCAATAACATTTTTTTATTTGCAAAATCTTGACGATCAGTCTTGTTACGAAGCGCTGACGTATAACCAAAGCTTCCTGGCCGTTATCTTATTTCGTTCACAATATATGTATATGGCAGATACACGCCTTAGTGAACATATTTTAACATACCTAACATAATAAAATTTTCAAACTATACTTCCAAAATGATTCAGCTATTGTTTTTGAAACTTTATAGCGTGTCTAACAGCAGTATAATACGCGTGGCTTTAAATGTAATATTGAAACTTTATAAGAAGACAAGTAATATTAAATTTTCTATTCACATTTTCGTTGCGAAAAAGTCCGCTTTCCGTCTTGTTTAGTACAGGGACTATTTGTAAGGATTTCCTTTTTTTGTGTCAGAAAGATAAAATCAGATTTTGTATACTACATAATTTCTTTCCGTCGGCGCGCAATCGTACGTAACGTACGCGATTCACATTGAATAACAACTAACAACACTTAATCAACTAACAGATAAAATATGTATGTAGTGCTTTTTTAACTCTCAAAATTAATTTGAATATCCAAAGAGAATACTGAGCTAATTCGTTATCTGTACTTGTTATTGTGATATATTATTCTTCTGCGACATCATCACAATCAGCACGTAACAGTCAACCGATGCACATGTGCCTCTCCAATTATAGAAAAGAAAGGAGAAAGGAGCGTAATGAAAGCTTTTGTTAAGTTAAGTCAGTGCGCTTTACCATCTTCGGCTGAACGACCACTTACAATTAGGTCGAATTGCAGTCAAGCACTGGGTACATGTATAATAGTAAAAAAAAATCACTATGCTTGGCAGCTGGATTTGCGATCGCACCGCCAGATATCCTGCACCTTTGACGCTTCTTTCCCTCGCCGATCAGGTTAGTTTACATATATGTCACAGATATACGGGAATACGGGATAGTATTGGCGTCATCTATTAAGTCTTTCCCACCTTTCTTAACTGTTTCCCATAGACGCCTCTTGGATTCCACCATACGAAAAATATATTGTTATCCTCAGTCACGAAATTAATACAAGTGACGTCAGCCTGAATGCAATTTGTAAATCGTTCGCGTACATATGATAAAAGCACGGCAATGCAATGAGAGTCGTAAGATTTATCAAAACTTTTCAGACTGACTTATACTTGTTCAAATTTAGATGAACATACGTGCGTATATGTATAGCTTACTAAACCCATAACCCCCTTTTTGGATTTGCTGTAGCCGGTTAAATGTATAAGCCAGCTTTAATTATCATTAAATCTGGTTGAGTTTTATATGAGATCGCTGTGAAATTACATTCTTTTTTTTTTGCACATTTTAAGAGTATCCACAATCGCGTGCCTCCGCCTCTCCAGTACTCTAGATAATCGTATAATTTATAACGTACATTATATGTTGATATGTGATCATTCTTAGAGACGTGATAGCTATGAGCTTACTAATAATATTTGTGCTTAAAAAAAAGAAAAAATTACTTAAACGGTCATGATAAAAAGCGGACACAGAGAAAGAAATATGCATAAATAAAAATATGCATAATTAACATAATATACCTTAACTGTTTGTCTTTGTTTTCCATTTACTGCAGTTAGAGCATAAAATACGGAAAACGAGATAAGGCAAAATTGTATTATGTGCTGCAGTTATGGTAAGCTTTGACTCGCATACTGCTGAATTGCGTCTGTTAAGTAGGTAAAAATGCAAACCTCGAAGCTCGGCCGTGTTTTCGACGCTAAATTACCATTTCAGTGCAGCCTACGAACGAATGAATATGTATTACCCCACCCGGAATGTGGGCCCGCTTGATGACAATTTTTAAAGTGAACACGAAATGTACACGATACCATACACAGAGCCTTGGTAGCTCAGGGGCTGTGCTCGCTGTAAATTTCTCAGTACGCGAGCAAGACGAGTTAGATCCCCGCCGGCACCAATGAAATTGTTAATTGCAATTTTAAGTGCTGATTTACCACGTGCTCGGCGGTAAATGAAAACATCGTGAATAAACCTGCATATCTGAGAAATAAGAAAAAAGTGTATTTCGAAGACGTATGAAGTGCGATAACACATTTCCTTGCCCTGCAGTGCGACGTATATAGGCTGTAACTTTAACATAATACCATTCGAAATTATTCACTTGAGGTCTGATTCGACGTTCGTAAATATTAGAATGAGCGAGTCACAAATACTACTAAACATAATTTACGACGCGCGCGGTGACCAATACACTTTCATAGATAAATTAGTGTGAATTTTCAGATGCAAGCGTTATCACAATCAGCCGGTGACAGCGCACCGAGTAAATGGGATTAAACTTTGTTAAACGCCCTTGCGTGTGGCGAAACTTCCGCGCGAGTTACCCTCAGTCGCATCTACAAACCGCCTTGCAGTTCCTAATATGAACAGTTAATGTTATTATTGCACGACGCTGAAGTGAATTCGGTCCGTGATTTAATGCTATTTAAAACACTGTATCTGGATTGTAGCTCGCGATGTGTACTCCTGACACTAGTAAACTCTGTTGGGAATAGAAACTACTACCTACTCCAATAGATTTTGTTTGACATAGCTAAGCCAACGGGGAAATAATAAACATTCGGAATATGCAATTACGCTAGTAATTTTCTTTAAATTAATATGCTACAAAATAACTACGGAAATGAACCTTTTTAAGATTATTTTTGACTTATATAGTTGTTTCTCATTAAATACTTCAAATTCAAAATATGACATTACAATTTGCTAAAAATAAGCAAAATCTCTAAAATTGTGTGAACGTTATTCTTATTACATACGCCGAATGATTGATGAAACTGATTGCTTTTTGTAAATTTCAATACATGATCTCATACGAAAATATACCATTACCAACTTTCATCGAAAACTTTAGAGTCAATTCGAGGAACCAGTTACTCGTATATTTTATATAATATGAACTACCTGGTACATAGCGCGTTGCTGCCGCAAAAAAAAAGTTGTGGAAATATTATTTTAAATTTTGAAGGGTTATGTTTAATTAAGAATATTATTACATTCATTGAAATGGAATGACATATTATGACTTTCAAATAAAAATATGGCTACACGCAAATACATAAAATAAAATAAAATAAAACATACATTGTTTATGTTCATACTGCCAATATCAAACACATAAATGTCGCTTGGACAAATTATGCCGCGTCTTGACATTCGCTTACTGTCAATGTCTCAAGAGTTAGTACAAACTTTAGATTTACTGTACAAACAAAGAGTACAATCTGCTACTTTGCCTAGCGTATGTGGACTATGAGAAAGCCTTTGATTCCGTCGAAATTTGGGCAGTGCTACAGTTCCTTCAACGGTGCCAAGTTGACTGTCGGTATATCGAAGTGCTGAAGTATTTGTACGGTAGGGCTACGATAGCTATCCGAGTACAGAACCAGAACGAAACGAAACCTATCCTACTGCATAAAGGTGTAAGACAGGGTGAAGTTATATCCCCGAAAATCTTCACCGCTGAATTGGAAGACGTATCTTACGACAAGTTGGTGATGTGCTACACTAACATTGACTATCTATAGCTAAAGGAGTAAGTAGTATAGTGTATGGTAAATGTTCTCGCTCTGTTTGTAGGAATAAGGTTTATAATTGATTGTGTTTTCTGATTTATAAAATGCGAGTGTGTGAGCGACTCTGTATCTATTTGCTTTTACTGATCTGCATGTGTAGTAGTTGGCATGTGGTAGGGGCCAACTGGAGACACCAGGTTCCGATACATTTTAATCTACCGGGCATATCTCCTTCTGTTTTTATATCTATGAACAAGTATAGATAAAGAATTAGCTCATTATTCTTTTTGGATATTCAAATTTATGCTGAGAGCACAAAAAATACGACATAGGGTAAGCCGTATAATGATTGACACTTTAAGCGGATTTCTACTTGTAAGTGGTCAATTCTCGTAAATAAACAAATTTGTTATATTTTTTATTGTTTTGTTGGATTTTAGTTAAGATAGCCGTAAATAAAATAACGCATTACGTTTAAAAAGAAATTTTTAATTAAGTTAAAAATTTAATTAAACTTTTTTCTAGGGAATGTTACAATCATTGGCACTTTAGCATAGTGAATGGCGCTGTAAATTAAGTATAATCATTGGCACCATTGGAAGTTTTAAAAACTTATACCCAGATCTTTCTAAGCTCCATCTTATTGTTATAACACTTATTTTGAACAAATCTTCTTCAAAAATTTTCCTTAGATCTTCATCTGAAAGCGGTTTCTTTTGTCTACCATGTTTTTTTCTTTCTTCGTATACATTTTCGATGTGACTTTTTTAGTAAAACCTTTCGTAATTTCTCGATATTTTGTAGAAATAGAACTTTATTTCGGCATTTTAGATTAGACATTTAAAGAGTATTATAATGTCAGTTTTTGGCTTCGTTCTTCTTGTTTTATTTGTTAGTTTGTTTCTATATTTTGCTGACTAATACAATTCTGCATTATCCATTTG